AATCGTGCTGGCGCAACCATTTCGGTATACGTGAGCGACTTGGGACACAAACTCTACTATTTAAATTTTCGATCTAGCTGTAGTTCATAGTCAGCGACGTCGCGAAACCAAGAAAAAGGAGCTATACATATCGATCGTTTGGTGCCGCTCTCATCTCCGCTCACGCTGCTGGGCGCCTTTCAAAATGGCACTGGGAATCCTTGGCAGAAAGCACGAATCGGGAAAATGCGCACATAGAAATGTGAGTATTGAAAAGTGTGAGCATAGATCTGGATAGAAGGAGAGCAGACGAACCCGTGAATCGGGATGGGCATCCTCACGATTTCCGCATTTTCCAAATTCGCGCACTCTCCCCACCAATGTTAATGTTTTCCAATCCGCACATTCTTCTTAATCGTGCATTATCCAAACTCCCAGGTTTTCCTTATTCATAATAGGGTGTTTATACTTTGCGGCAACGTCCTGAGCGTCCATTAGCGTTCCCAGCGGTAATCGATAACTATACTTTCTTAGTCGCCCAAAACGCTCGAAACGCTGACGCAAAGTATGAACACATTCTGAAGTAATGAATGCAGAATCAGCAGTCCAAGGATTTCACATTCTTCAGTCGACCTTTTTTCAAACATTTATGAGGGTTGGACAGGTTCCGTATCCCTCCACCCCCTCCCCAGTTACCCAATCCTGCTTGTCATCACGCATTTTTTTGGGATCCCTGGTTCCATGGTGTTGCAGGGTGTGAACAACGCTATAGTTCGAGAAATGAGCTGTAGGTCAGCGTTACCTTCGATGGATCACCGAACTTGGTTTGATTCTTTGTAAACGCCGCTACTAATAGACAAGCTGAACACCTATGGAACCAATGTAAGTTATTCAGGCCACTAAGAAACGCGCGCCAAATGATGCAAAAGCAGCGATCTTGGCCTCTTGACGAATACTCGTAATAATCCCAACGTTGTTTCCAGCTACAACAATTAGGCACTTAGCTACAGCCAATGTTTACCTGCAGTTCGCTGGCAGGATTTACTGCACGTCAGAGGACCCGCCAAAGATGTAACCGATACTGAATGCCAGTGGAGAGTAGTAACAACCAGTCGTTTTGTGTTACATGAATACACACAATGCCAACCTGCTCTAAAGTGCTTCCTTTAAAATAGCAGGGCAGCGGGCTGTCTTGGTACACAGGTGGGCACTTACACCCCTCCCTGCTTGTGGAGGAGTATTCATTCGGAAACAATCATGAATAAAGACAGATTGCTTTTGAGGCACTTCAGAGAATCACATTCATCACAGACACTGACGAATATGTTCGCCAACTCTGACTAGTGCGCGCACGTTCAAGGTCGCGTGACTCCTTGTTTCCGTGGTCCTGCAACGAAAAGCTAGAGCGTAGACAGAAAGATGGCAGCGGCCGCCCGAGCATCCCTGTCGCAGTGATCTCCCAACACCGTCCAGGCGAGAGAGCACATACAAGAGCAGAAAATCGACAAGGGAAAGAATGCGTTCAGACTTCCCTTTCGTATGGACGCACTCTAGTCTGTGATCGCGCGATTTGGCGCTGCGATGGCACCGCGGACGGACGATCCATCGATGAGAGCTGAAGCCCTGTGATGGCATTTGGGACAAATTTTCTTTCAAGTTTCATTTTTTTTTGTTATTTTTTTGGCATTTACTCGCACGCTCCCTATGAAGGAGTTGTTTTTATTCTGCCTTGATTTTCCTGTAGCACATATTTGATGACAATAATTGAGGTATACGTACATACATCACGATCCTTTGCTATTGACATGAATTTTTATCTGGCAGGCACCTTCTTGCGCTTGACTGTACGTGTCATTAATCCTTTTCAACAGGTGAGAGGTAAACATAGGCAAAATATATTTTGAAGAAGATGCTGTGAATGTAATAAAACTGATCGTTGCGGCGGTTCCAACTGATGGTGAAGCGCTCCTCGCCCTGGTCGCGCGACCAGAGCCATATGCGATACCTTTCTTCGGAGGAACGTATTTCCCACTGAACCTCATGGGCCGTATGCTATACTTCCCCTCAAGGGGAGATATCCCCTAGTGAACCTCCATTCTCTGCCGTTATCTCTACTGATGCCCCTCGTCTCTCTGGCTCTCACCGCTCTGCATCCCTACCCTCACACTGTCACGGAATCGTCATGAAGGCGAGCTGTCGAAAGGGGAGCTTGGTTATACTGTCACCCCCACTATATTCCAACATAGCGTGCGCCAGAAGAGTACGGATGCACAGCGGAGAGGGTTAGAGGGGTGAGGACGTGGAGCCATCTCAAAAATGATCTGTTGCAGGTAGTCGAGGTTAATGCGAGGACACAAAAAATAGTTAATTTTCGCCGATGCTTCTCGGAAGGCAAGGAAAGGTGAGCAAAGGGCTGCATATCGTGGCGCACTACATCACTTTAAAAAGCTCCCTCCCCAGTAACGCAGCAACGTTCAAATTTAGAAAACAGTGGAACGTACCAAACTCTGGCGAGAAGCCGTAAGACATTCGTCGACATGAGAGGCCCGAACACTTTCACTGGACGAGCACATTTTAGCAGTAGTTCAGTTCAACGTCACCAGCAACGTCGTTGCTGCTCAAGCGCTGAAAGGACCATTATTAAAAGCAACTCTATTTTTATCCAAAAAAATTCGCTTACCATTTTCTGACGAAGAAGCCATAACAGGTCCGCTGTCATCAGAAGCATGAAGACTTGCGTTGGAGGAGTACATCTGAGCCGTAGCTGGTTCAGCCTCATCTGCGACGTTGTTGGTGCTCAACCGCTGAAAAAAAAGTTATTGGAGGAGTAACATCTGAGGCTGTAGCTGGTTTGCGACCTCATCCGCATACGCTCTTTGAGCTAACTACACAACCGGCTGAAATAAGGTAAAAGTTTTTGATCCGCCTCTGCTTCTCCAAAAGAAGCTGGACTTACCATGCTCTGTACGGGAGGCCTGAAAAGAGGTTATGAAAGCTCGTCCGAAGCACAAAGACTGTGCATTATGACGAGTACAGCTGAGGCCGTAGCTGGCGTCGATCTCATCCGCGACCTTGTTGGTGGCTCACAGCGCTTGAAAAGAGGGCAGGATTTGCATGCGGCGTCTCGCTTCATCGGCAAAGAGTCCGCCTAACCACCTCTGACGCAGAAAAAGAGAAAGCGCAGTATGAGAGGAATTGTGGCATTAGCTGCATTGAAGACTTGCGTGAGGAATACATCTGAGCCGTACTCGGTTCCATCTCATCCACGCGACGTCTGTTGGTGCGCCGCAACCGCTGCGAAAAAACAGAGATATATTAGATGCATGAAGACTTCGCGTTGGAGGAGTACATCTGAGCCGTAGCTGGTTCAGCCTCATCTGCGACGTTGTTGGTGCTCAACCGCTGAAAAAAAGTTATTTTGGTAAGCCCATGGTCACCGAAAGACTGACGCGTACCACACTCTGACGAGAAGCAGTGAGAGGAATGTGCGCGTCAGAGCATGAAGACTTGCGTTGGAGGAGTACATTTGAGCCGTAGCTGGTTCAGCCTCATCTGCGACGTTGTTGGTGCTCAGCCGCTGAAAAGAGCAGGATTGGATGCACGTCTCCTTCTCTGCAAGAGGTCCGCCTACCACGCTCTGACGAGAAGCAGTGAGAGGAATGTGCGCGTCAGAAGCATGAAGACTTGCGTTGGAGGAGTACATTTGAGCCGTAGCTGGTTCAGCCTCATCTGCGACGTTGTTGGTGCTCAACCGCTGAAAAAAGTTATTTTGGTAAGCCCATGGTCACCGAAAGACTGACGCGTACCACACTCTGACGAGAAGCAGTGAGAGGTATGTGAGCAGTAGAAGCACGAAGACTTGCGTTGGAGGAGTACATCTGAGCCGTAGCTGGTTCAGCCTCATCTGCGACGTTGTTGGTGCTCAACCGCTGAAAAGAGTAGGATTGGATGCGCGTCTCCTTCTCTGCAAGAGGTCGCCTACCACGCTCTGACGAGAAGCAGTGAGAAAGGAATGTGGGGCATTAGTCAAATGAAGACTTGGCGCTGGAGGAATACATCTGAGGCCGTAGCTGTTCCATCTCATGCCGCGACGCTATGTTGGTCGGCTCAACCGCTAAAAAAAAAAAGTGTTTTGATGAGCCCATGGTCCACCGAAGGACTGACGCGTACCACATCACTCTGACGGGAGCCGAAAGAGGTTTGCAGCGCCGTCGAAGCACGAAAAGCTTGGCATTAAGACGAGTCATCTGAGCTGTACTGGTTCGAATCTCATCCGCGACGTTGTTGGTGCGTCAGCCCGCTGCAAAAGCAGAGGATCTGGATAGGCGTCTCCTCCATCTGCAAGAGGTGCCTACCACACTCTGACGAGAAGCAGTGAGAGGAATGTGGGCATTAGATGCATGAAGACTTGCGTTGGAGGAGTACATCTGAGCCGTAGCTGGTTCAGCCTCATCTGCGACGTTGTTGGTGCTCAACCGCTGAAAAATAGGTAAAACTGATCCCGCCTCTGGTTCCCAAAGAGAAGTGAACTTACGATGCGCTCTTACGGAGGCCGAAAGAGGTTTGCAGCGCATGCCGAACAGGAAGGCTGCATATGACGAGTACATCTGAGCCTTCGTAGCTGGTTTCGATCTTCATCCGCAGAAGTGATTGGTCGGCTCAACCGCTGAAAAAAAGTTATTTTGGTGAGCCCATGGTCACCGAAGGACTGACGCGTACCACACTCTGACGAGAAGCAGTGAGAGGAATGTGGGCATTAGATGCATGAAGACTCGCGTTGGAGGAGTACATTTGAGCCGAAGCGGTTCGATGCTCAATCGCTGAACGCTTGTTGGTGTGCTCAGGCGCTGAAAAGAGTAGGATTGGATGCGCGTCTCCTTCTCTGCAAGAGGTCCGCCTACCACGCTCTGACGAGAAGCAGTGAGAGGAATGTGGGCATTAGATGCATGAAGACTTGCGTTGGAGGAGTACATCTGAGCCGTAGCTGGTTCAGCCTCATCTGCGACGTTGTTGTGCTCAACCGCTGAAAAAACGAACGTATTCATACGAACATGTTGCAGCCGATAATTATTGGTTTGCAGCTTTACAGATATTTCCAGCTGATTTAACTCAGGATAATATCCTCGCATTCGGGCATCATACATGGATGTGACTGAGGTACGAGTAAACAAAAATGGACGGCACGTATGGCACCTGCCTCTATGCCAGATATCCCTTAGTGTGCCCTTAGCGTTTTGGTGATTCTCGCACCTTACACTTACCTTGTCCATGCGTCATGTCGTCAACCTGTCGCACTGACAGAGCCCGGGTTGGCTAGACAATGATGAGTCGTCTGCGATACCGGGCGAAACAGATCACCTGTGCTTTGGAGTGTATTCCTTTTGGAATGTTTGTTTTTCTTTGCTTCTAATTAACCATATTCCCATTTTCTCTGGATTCCCCATCTGAATGAGATGTTCAGTCTATCAGTTGTTTCCTAGTGTTGTCATGAGCGTCACGATGATGAGCACTAGGCGACTGGTTTGAACCAACAACTATAGGAGCGATTCATCTTGATTGGAAGAATAAGTCAGGTTGGATGCCACACGCCTAAGAGGAGAGGCCTCTAGCATAAAAACCCGCTAGACGCTACGCTTAAGAGGAGAGACCCCCGGCAGAGACTTACCAACTGCAACCCGCTAGAGCGTGACTGCAGTTGGTAAGTTCTTAATGGCCTCTGAGTACAGCCAGGAACACTTTCGTTAGCAGTGCTAACAGCAGCGCATATGGAATGATGGAAAGCCTGCTTTCTAACTGAAAATAATGAGGAAAACAATGACACTTACATAGCTGGATGCTCTTCTAGTATCTCCTGATCCCTGAGGAGACTCTGTTGAGACGTATGCTGTCGTTCCGCTACTTTCAGTGCGTGTGTTTTGATCCTGAAAGTTTCTTCGAATTTAACGAGCCGGTAAGCCTACTGTAGCACAAACGATTGGTGGTGTACTCTATAGGGTACTTAAAACCCTCGCAGGCAGTGGACACGACTGCTGGAGGGGAGCGGTTGTAGCCAGCGTCTTTGGTGGAAGGGTTGTAAGAGGGCGTTAGGCCACACCCCACTCACCTTTTCCACCAGTGACGTTGGCGACAATCGCACGCCTCCGGCACTCCTACTCACTGCCACTAAGTATAAATACAAAATTTGAGAGAAAGAATGTTCGCCAGCACTTGAGAAACCAGATATCCTGATCGACAAGCTGAATAAGGTGGGGAAAAGTGCCTTACAGGGCTTTTGTCAACCGGACACTCCCTTGCTGCGAAGCTCCAGAGGTGTTTGCTCATGCACCTACTGTCCGAGCATTTGAAGACGGAAGTGAGGAAGAGGGAAGAGAAAATCAAGGAAGGAAGGGAAGACTGGGAAGAAAGAAGGAGGGACGATTCGCGGTGATTAGATAACCTGAGGCGGGAAAAATGAGCATACGGGATAGAAGCTAAGGATTTCCTCTCACGTATTAGATGTAAGCTATTTCAAACTGGACAGATAATAAATAGTAAATAATAATAATTATTATTATTTAAATGAGTGCTTCTTATAACAAACCTGAACATAGAGATTTCTGCGTCAGGTTGAGCTGACAACACTAAACAACAAATGAAGGTAAAAAAAGTGGCAGCAACTCACCTCGCTAGAAAGACGCTCACTCCGACCCGATGTCGTCGTCGCCTCCAGTACTTCACCGTCGCCCTCTCGACACCTAACCTGATCCGGAGCTGTTACGTAATGGGAGCCAGTCTTAAATTAAACATCTCTTCAAGTGAGCAGATGAGACAGAAAATAAGAATAATCTACGCCAATTTTGCACAAATTCCTTATAAATGTCATGAAAAGTAAAGTTTTGGCACCAACATTGCTAGATCCAGACAATCTCCTCCCATTGACCAGAATAGTGGGAATTTCCTGCAAGCGAGGCCACTGTTCAGGCTGAACAAGGCTAGGTAAAAGTCGAAGCTCAACCAATAAAGATATGACCCAAGAGACTACTCATACTTGAGAAGCATTTTCAAAAATGTCATCATCTCCAGGATCAAGGTCTCCACCGTCGCGTAAACTCGACTTGACCGACTTGAAATGAATAGCTTACTGCAAGAGTAACACACAGCACACACGTATCCGCTAAGATATGATATAGCATTACCTGTGGACTGAGAGCAGCTTGAAATGCTTCTTCCGTCAGCTCATCATCGTGAGTACCACAAAGAAATTCCGACGACCGCAGCATACTCTGGGAAAACCAACTCTGGTAACCGAATTTTTTCATGCATATGCTTTCACTACATTTTCGGATTTGTTTTGCTGTGACTGTGCGCTATTGGGTGCTGTAAGGGTACAACTCAAAAACCAGTGAGCTGACAGCGTAAGAGGCAACCTGTGGCGTAACGGATAGCATACTCCCCAGGAAAGTGTGATGGGCAAGTTTGAATCTCCTCAAAGTCAAGACTTATGCCCGTATCCCTGTTTTCTTATGACAACTCTCACTAAAATCACTTTCGAAATGGGCGGGGGGGGAGGAAACGGGCTTATCTGTGAGTCAATTGTTCTTCTACATGCACTGTCCTCGATTCATCTTATCTTTAACAGCAGCTGACCGCAGCTCCTCTAAAATAGATCTCGATGGGGAGCCCAACAGAAATAAGAATCATCGCCAAAAGCGTTTACCCCGCCACAAGCGTGCCCAGTGGTACCCTGTCACCAGAACCATTACTTACAGGATCTAAATCACCACCCACAGTAGAAGTTACAAAAACTGATTACTGAATCTCAGGGGTTCTTTTAGTACCAGAATCACGAAAAGAGGCGCAACAAGCTTGGCGTTTCTATAACACCACTTTTAGCCAACTGGATAAATTACACGAAATATGCAAAGGCATACCGAACTTGAGTAGCTTAAGAAAAGGAACGCTACATACGTTTCCAGGAGTGCCTGTTTTACTGCGTAAGCGATAGGATCGGAATCCGCATCCTCACACGAGCACTGATGGTGGTTTTCTGGAAGCGCTAGGAGTCAGCAGTAAAATGACCGATTATCAAAACAGTTCGCAGTTCCGTCTTTCTGAGAAAACCGCGGCGTGCTTTGCAACGCATACAATTATATGGAAGCAACACCGAAGTAAGCAAAAGAATTACCAAATTTCAGAAGTACCCTGTCCTCTCGTGGTTCACGCGGGATCGTTAGAACTGTTCTAACCCTTCAGATGGCGATGTCACCAACAATAGGAAAATTTCGTCCGTTATTTGTCAGTAGAATCGACAGCTGCTAAAAGGCGTGATTTCCAAATCTATGTCTACTACACATGGCTACGATGACAAGACAACGTCTAGGATCGGCAAATACGACTATGCTCACATGATTGTGGAGCCTTTCTTTACTTAAACTGGATATCGAATCTCGACTGCTCAAGACAAACTGGCGATCGGCCGCACCATGGCAGCATAATACGCCTGATATAGAACGGCGAGCGGCGCAAATTACGATTGCCTTGTCCCTCCCCCCTATTTGTCCTCAGCCCTACCTTGAGATACTGCGTCCCGGGAAATCAAAATGGCCTTCACCACTTATGAAAGTACGTACAAGAGCCACAACTAGCAGACAAACATGTGAACTTAAGACATTTCAAAAGACGGTAAAAGAAATTTTTTTTAATATTAGACGAACCTTGCTAAGTCGATGATTGTTGAAATGCCCGTCGTTATGTATCGATCTGATCTGAGCCTTAAAAATCTTTAGTTGATCCAAAGACAGAAAGCGCGTATCCCAGCGTCTCTAGTTCACTAACCTCTCCGCCATCAGCAAGTGCATCTCCTTCTTCCTCGGCAACGCTCATGAAGGAACTTTTCATACTCGATCGCCTATCTTCTGAAGAATAAATTACAGCTGAGCTCAAATATTGAGTTAGGCAATATGATGATCGTTTCTAAGGACACACCTCTCAGACTTCCACCTCCACTGGCGTTTATCATAGTCTAAAAAAAGTGTGGTTAGGTAGATTAATGAAGAGTAGGTTTGCAAAATAGCACAGTTGGAAGATGTCGAACAGAAGCGAAATAGAAAAAAATCATAGCAAGAAAATATGACGTAATATTGAAGAACAAAAGAAGTAAAAACAAAAGTGCATAGAGAAAAAATGTCTCCAGGCATTCTCCTTGACTAAACGAATACCCTTCGGAACAGCAGGAAAGCACTGCTACTTGGCTGTGACTAACAAAACCTTCCAACCGTCTTTGAAAAACCAACAGCCGAGACATGAGTTATTTAGGCTGCGTTCATAGTTCGCAACTCGAAAGCGACAACGCGACTCGAACGATTCAGGCGCGCGACTGCGCTTCAACGCCAGTTCGCGAAGTATTAAGACAGCCTAGATAATTAGCTGCACAACTGCTGAGCGCCTCTCGATGTTCACTTATCATTTTGACACTGGACTCAAAAATCAGCGCACTACAAAATATCGGCGTCGTTATTTCAAGATCTGCTCGTCCATGGCACAACACACTATCTATGAAGAGGCGGCGTATCAGTGGGTAATGCACAGAATGTGCAAGTACCAAATAGGACAGCTGACTAGTTACTACAGGCACGCATAGCAAACTCAATTGAATAATGACAACGTGCCAGCAATTTACCACCCAAGTTATCACAGAAAAGCTCAAAGCCAGGTCAACGCTACAACTCATTTCAATAGCCGATTCATATTTTCCTTTGTAAAAAATCAAGTGGCGACCTCAATACAACTCGTCGGCAGGGAGCAAAACATTTCAGGTACATTTGCCACCTTCAAATTAGCCTCTTCGACAAGAGTACCTGTGATAAGGAACGAACACGTCGTGGAGGAAGCACGGATTGGCAATCATGGATATCTATTCCATTTACGTTATCCATAGCAATGTCGTTATGGTGCTGAAACAGTACCGTTGAGGAGAAGGTTATAACAATCCTCAGAAAAGCACAACTTGCAGCCACTTCAAGATATTCTTTCAGCTGTAAGCAAAGAAACGAATAGCTCTTCCACAAACAGTTGCAGGAAATATTAATAGTAAAAACAGCTGACGGACCACATGCGAAATAAATCCTTTCCTAAGCTCTTAGGGCAGGGATGCAGCTGCAGGAATGCCATTTTCGTCTCTCAGAAGTGATACAAAAGAATGTGATAGTATGAAGTTTATCATACTTCCGCTCGCCATTCAAAGCGCGAGGCAGGCAAACACGGTACAACAAACCGTATGCGCTGAAATGAAGCCAGAGGATAGTCTCCATGCTCGCCTTTCTTGTAACCTGGGCATTTCTGGCAAACATTCAGCCAGAGGATAGTGACAGTCGGCGCCATTTGTGTCTCCGCTCGTAGCTTAAGCGTACAGACATGCAACACGCCGCAGAACCAACCGCCGTTACCTGTATGCACCCTTTCAGGGGGTCACTGTTCTCTACAGGTCAACATCAGCAGTTTGCGAACATGTTTGGTGTAGGAAAAGAACCGCAAGTGGTCACTCATGTACTGCAGCAAACGGGTCAGCAGTATTTCCGAAGAGTGTGGCCTGTGTCGTCCCTCCAATAATAGGCGGAGACACAAAAATATCTGGCAATCACCCCTATGCAGCTTCATGGCTTGCTCCAGGTTATTTTACCAGTATCAGATCGTCAATGCAGGAAAGAGTACCTCCAAAGCTGTCTTCAAATCTGGGTCAGAAGGATACATCGCCGCTTCAATGGTTGCACTTAGAACCGGAGACTTTGCAGTCACTGGTCCGTTTAGAGAGTTCTAAATTCAAACTGTCAGTATGAAAGCTATTTAGAAAGAAATGCAGAACCAGGAATGGAGTCCATAAAGTTGATCAATAGATCACATACAGTAAGCTCATGTGTGGGTCAAAATCGAGGTTATCCAAAAGAAATTAGTGAGTTATTACCATGCTAATATGAGGTGCGTTTGCAGGTATATTGTGTTGTGCAATAAAATGCGATGATTTGCATCGATTGACCATTTCGGGAAAGGATTGTTCGGTTCTCTGTAAGGAGAGGTTCTTTAACATAAAATTCGAGGGCGACGCATTCGTTCTGCTGCAGTTGAAGAGTGCAGTTTTTCGAGTGTTACATTACGAGAATAATATGACTCCCCCGCTCCCTCCTCCTCCTGCTCCTGCTGGAATCTCTATGGAACTGGTACATGATGGGGAAGAAGGAATTACTCGGAAAGGCCGAATTTAATCTGACAGTAATCCTCAAAGCTTGGAACAGAAGGATCGATTCTCAAGTATTTTTGATGAGATCGAAAAAATAAACAGTATAACAGGACGCAATCTGTCATGACCTAATTAACCTCCCACCGAACTGTTATTAGCCAACTAGTTCGTAACACTACATAGCCACTGGAAAGAGACACCGCTCAGAACTTTTGGACGTGTCGATGGCTGCTCACACTTGCACGTCATTAAGGGACACAGACCTGTTTATTTCGCCTACTTTACTTACCACAACGTGATAAGAGGCGGATCGTGCGCACGCTCCTCTAGGTAATCCTTCACACTTTGAAAGGTTGGCGTTTATGGGGATGCTGCTCGCTGTTTCAATCTAAATAGGGTACATATTAATTCGGAACTTTAGAGAAATGTGTATGTTGCGTATGCTTTACATGGGGAGGGGAGTCCGGTTTGGGGGCGGGGAGGGAAAGGGGCATTTTGCACTTTCGCTGCTCTACTTGCATAATGGGAAGCAGCGAAAGTACAAAGCCCCCCCCCCCCACCGTCGCCGAACCTTTGATTGTATGTGCTTACCAATGTTTCTCGTTGACCGTCGATTTCATAAGAGCAGCTTTCCTGAACTGGCTGGGCAGAATCAAGGGCATGGCACGATGCTCTCTAGAACTTCTCGAATAAGAGGTGATCAAGAGGAGCAATCTATCTAAAGTGTAGCGAACCACGTTATTGGATGAGCCATGTTGCACACGAATCTCTTTGTATTCGGTGGAATTCATGAATTGGCCGTCACTATTAAGGTTGCTTTCGACTACTTGTACCTGAATCGAATTGTGTTGATTACTAGCAAAGCTGTATACAAGTTGATTGGTAAGCCCTAGCAACAGCCTCAGTTTCTGAGAAGCAAACAGTAAGGCTTAGAGAAATGGAAGTCAAGCATCCCTGGTCGGCACTTCCATTAACAGAGCCTTTCAAAAAAAGGGAAGAAGGGAGAAAAAAAGGAAAAAAGAAAAGGAGGAATGCTTGAAGGCTGACAGATATGGCGAGTTCTTCAAAAGAATAAGAACTGAGTGGAGTTCAGGCCATTTGATCGCGTGAAAACCAGAATTCCTGTCTAGTTGACTCAACATAGTTGGCGCCAAGTCGATTATTTCAATTCACGCCCCGTACAATTGACTTGACATAATCTTCAATCAGTAAACTATCGTTAATCGATAAATGCTTCATTCTATTTCGAGTTTCGAGATTTGCTGAATGAAAAGCGTCAGTTCATAACTGAAATTGCCAAATAGTGAACGTGATCTTCAGAACGTGGAACAGAAGAAATCATTTTCCAAGTAATTCGAGTTGAGGTCAAAAATATCAGTAAGGACGTAATCTGCCATTTATCTCTCGTTAAAGTGTTCCAACTGTTCCGCTGAGTCAACTAGTTAGTAACATTACTTCGATGGGTTACAGAGCTGCTGTCAACCCGATCTACTCTCTCTGATAGTGTTCACAGGTAATTTCTTATCGCGTCTTCTGGACGAACATCTGAAGGGAGGAAAATAAGGGAGAGGGAAGAGAGAAGGAAGGAGGAGGAGATGGAAGGGTGAAGAAAAGAATAGGGAAGTAGGAAGAAAATGAAGGAAAGAAGAGGGAGGACACAAGGACAGATATCCTGAGACCCATTCCGGCTGTCTTGAAGTACGCCCTCGGCCCTGGAATAATGCTCTAAGTGTCCAGGTTCGACTCTCGATGAATCTGATGATTTTTGACTTTTTCCAGGCTCTGACGAAGGCGATAAGGCGCCGAAACGTTAGCCAATAAAACTTTTATACCATCTTGGTTACGGCTAAAGCAATACCCTATAGGAATGCTCTAAGTATTACCGGATCTCGGCCCGCTTCATAACGAAAGTCTTCCACACTGGCGATCGGAATCTCAGCAGCCAGTTCGGGTGAGTTGCTACTCTGAAACATTTTACGTAGTTAAGCCTCGAAGACCATATCACGGAGAAAAAATGCATGAGCTTAATTTTAGGCTGCTCTTGAGCATCACCAAGACCTTGTGAGCTCTAAAAGTTTATTGCAAAGTAATTCAAAGTTCAAATGATTGGAATTCAACTTTGCTACTTTGCACACATGCTGAAATATAGGAAACATGAAAATAATAAATAGCAGGAGCTAAATAGCAGTAGCAGTAATATAGAAGACAGTAAAGTTGAATTCCAGTCATATCAGAGCGATGAAATAGCGATGACCTCAATTAAACCATTACTTCCGGAATAAGAACACAGCGAATGCGTTCATGACACCATCTCGTCACATATTATCGTTTAACTGGTAATATGTCACAGATTACACTGATCGTGGGGAATTAAACAGTTTGAGGGGCAGTTCGGTTAATGGGGCATTTTACCCTTGCGCCACTTTCCATCACTCTAGAAGAGTTGACAGACAGTCTTCGCAAGTAGACTGTACTTCTACAAACTTCCATTGGTATCACTCAATAGCTTCACGATTCCAGAAACTACCTGAGAACTGGACATGACAGTTGGAGGCAGCGAAAGTGCAAAATGCCTCATCTCCCTTCCTTTAGAAAATAGGCGCCTTTTTAGGGGCCGTGAAAGCTGCTACTCCACAGTCACTGATTCAAATCACTTGTGCCAGTGACTGTGACCCTAGAGAGAATTCAGGAGACAGAACTCCTCATCATTCATCTGTTCTACCTCTACGAAGGTTTTCTCGGTTCTCCACCTAGTTTTTTTACGGTCTCCTCGAAAAACGGTGTCCTTTATTGAGTCATGGGACCTGTATTCTGGGTATGTCAAGAATAACCAGTCCCGTATGATTCATCGCAAATCCAGGACCGCCTTGGCGGTCCAAACAAGTCCTTTTTCTTCCGGGGCTTGCTAATCGGTGCCAGACAACCCGGTAGGATGAAAGTACTGACTCTTACATGGGTTGGCTCTCGCAGGTCATCCATGTCACCTTCAGAAGCTATTACGATTCAAAATTAAAAACGACGCGCGGCTTAGCCTGAGAAAAGCAAATTTGATTTGTGGCGCTGTGATGCAGCGGTTACCGACTGAACACCTGTTACTAAAGCAAAGTAGCCTACTGTACAATTCTGTTCGCTGGAGTGTATCAGGAGCCCGGCGCGAGCCTGTTCTTCACCAAGGTGGAAGCTGGCGGTTGGCCACAACCGGTGGAGAGCAGGCTGGCGCTGCTTCAAATCAAGCTCCCTGAAACGCCCTAGGCAAGCAGTGAACGCGACTGTAGCACACGTCAATGCGCTCAAAGAATCTTCGGTCATCCTCAGATGACGCTGAACGAGCCAAAATGAAAATTCTACTTACACAGTTTATACTGTCAGCATCGCCCATCACTCCAAACGACCCAGTTGAAAAACCAGTGTATCCATCACTTCTCCTTCCTGAGTGCCTCCCTTGCTGACTTCCATTTCGAGCTTCCCGCCAGTTGTCTCGGCCATTATTCCTGCCATCAATTTCGCGATGTTCACCACGTGCACCGCGGTACCCTCCACGACCTCGGCCGCCTCGATTTCCTTTCTCCTACATGTATTCCGGTACAATAATTGGATCTGGCATCACTGCACAACAAAATAGAAGATTTTATGAATTTTTGGCGTGTTTTTGTTCTGAGAATAAAACATTATCACTTTACGATTTAGTCGGATAGCACAATGCCAGCTGTCGGAGTCAATCATGCGCGATCATAATCGCGGAGAACAAATGCTCTCTGAACATTTCTATACTGCCTTTCAACTGGCACATCTTATTCTGGTGTGCAGTAAAAACAAATAAAGGGGGACTCATCAAAAATTTCAGGGATCAGGACAGGACGCAAACGGATTGGTGAAGAGCGAGGAACTACAAAACTCCGAATTTCAAAAATTCCGGGTAGGCTTGAGGCTGAACCCAAATATTAGTCATTAGATGCCGACTGGCTCAGTACTGAAGAAGATACGGGCAGAGTCTAGCAGTGCAAATAGTTCCCTCTTTTTATGCTTGCTTCTCATCACAGGACGAGAAGTAGATGAGGCGAAGAAACATTGTGAGCGCTGGTTAGAGACTAGGGATAGTTGCTTATAACACTTGTTTACCCTTTACTCCCAAATCACCCGAAATCAGGCCAGTTTTTGACCGACTTTTTTCTTCGTAAGCAGAATTGGCTGAAAAGTTGCCTACTAGGGTAGTCTGCCCTTCTGAACATGATTATCACATCCGCTCGGCACGAAACCTCCTAGCGCCCGTGCCACAGGCGCCAGCGCCAAAATACCCTAAATCACCAAGTTCGCTGAAAACTTGTCAACTGGGGTAGTTTGACCTCCTGGACACAAATATCCCATTAGCTGAGCCCGGAAATGCCTGGCGCCAAAATACTCGAAATCACCAAAATCACTAAACTTTTCAACTGGAGCAGTTTGACCTCCTAAACACGAACATCACATCTGTGTGGGGCGTTGAGAATGTTGGGATAGAGAAAAAGGGGTAATGTGATTGCGCAACCTGCGTCTGCACCCCTCCTCTGAGATGGGGCCCTTTCTCTGCTAAGGCTGAGCCTTAGCAAAGGGAAGGATTTCTATGACAGGCAACCAGGAAAGGTGCTGCGTTGATTCGGCCCAATTGCTCGTGGCTCGATGGCTGCGCTTTCATGCGAGGCCCTGTGCTAGGGCCCAACTGCCCTAGCACAGGGCCTCGCACGAAAGCGACTTTACTTTTTAGGATATTTTGGCGCGGGCGCTAGGATGTTTCGTGTCGAGCGGATGTGATAATCATGTTCAGAAGGCGGACTTCCCTAGTAGGCAACTTTTCAGCCAATTCTGCTTACGAAGAAAAAAGTCGGTCAAAAACTGGCCTGATTTCGGGTGATTTGGGCAGTAAAGGGTAAACACTGCCTAAAAGTCTTGAAAGCGAAGCACAATTGCCGGCACTTAAGTCTTTTCCTGCTGCAAGTAAGAGCAAGCTTGACAAAATAACGGATAAAAGTATTTTCTGAACTCGCAGAAGATGTTCCGAAAAAATGCAAAATGCGAACCTGTCAAGGAATCGAACCCATGACCTCCCATCTATGAAGCAACTTACCTATCCACTACACCATCGACCACTTGAGACTGTCTGTACTCGAACTTAACTTGAGCTACGCAAAGGAGGATCGGCGAGTGCTATGCTAGAACCACCCCCCCCCCCCTAACTCCTCATAGAGAATCGTTCGGCAAATTTTGAAAGCAGATTTGAGTTCAGCGTCCCGAGACGTACACGTCGATATGCATCTCATCTTGAATGGCCATGGCGACCTGTTGACCTTCCCTGGTTAGCATCCTTTTCACTGACTTCCGAGGTGCCCTGTAAGTGATATCCCTATAACTGCGGACATTGATGCTAGTGTTGATGCAGCTGAGCGAGACCACACGAGAGCGTGCGTCTCCCTGATAATCAGAATCGCCGGACTTTCCTGATCTTCTAGGCCTCTCTTCTTCATGGCGTTCTATGCCGGACTTTCCTGATCTTCTAGGCCTCTCTTCTTCATGGCGTTCTATCACCTCTAGGACATCGTTTAACGTATAGTAAGTGCTTCAACCTCCCCGTAGCCCCCTTATCTTGAAAAGCCCCATAAACTGACTTCCGTATGTTCCGTCGAACTTATCAATGCTTTGGCAGCCGTTGTCCTCCATCTGTCTGCGCTGTCCTTGAGCGACTTTGTTGTCTGTGCTCTGAGTCTACGTATTTTTTGGGGAAAGGGGTGCAAAAGTTCGCGTCGCCAGCTACGCTAGCATCGGGGGCCTTGTTTATGGAAAGAGTTTTACCTATCACACAATCTCTTGTGTCTTTTAAGTTTTCGGCGCTAACGTAGTCGGGGGAACGATTCCAGAGTGCCTGTCTCCCCTAACCAAGACTCTGAGAGCAGATGGATATGGCCGCTGCAGCTTACTCTTGCGAAGCTGACACTCCGCGGATCTGATGCGCTCTGAGCCTAGGCCTTGGGGAACAGACAAATGGGCTCAGTAGAGTGGTCCCCCCACTCCCAATCAACTTAGCGCCGAGTTGTCTTTGAACTCCCCACTGTGAAGGATGTAGAATGAATCCTGATATACACAACATTTAGAAAAAAGCGTTGAGGGTGCCTGAAGTGTGAAAGCGGTCGTACAAGAGAAATGGAATCTCTCACCAACTTCTCTGTAAAACAGATAAAATGCAGCCATACCGTACGCAATATTCATACAAGGTAAGAAAGTTCAAAATTACGGAAGTATAACCAATTTACAAAAAACTCACATGAGTGAAGCCACCGTCAGCGCCGCTGTCACCGAAGCTGTCATCAAAGCCGCCGCGGCGACCACGACCCTGGACCAAATGGGAATTTACAGAGCTTCATACGTATTAGGTAATGTAGAAGAGCTTACCCCTTTCTTTCCACGCTTCATTTCCAACAGTCCGGTTCACCGGTTCCTGCAACTGAAAGATGATTATGAAGCACCACACAACAGATCTTAATGGTGAGCAACTAGACTTGGTCAAAAATGATGATATACTTGATATGATAACCGCGGGAAATTGCCACGCTAGCGGCTACATGATAACTGTTCAGAGGAGCATAAGAACAAGTTCATTTCTGCAGTTACACGAAAGAAGGACAACAACAGAATTCACATTCCTGAGCTTAGTCTTATAATTTCAAAGGAACCAAGCATGACAGGAGGTATGTGGAAAGACATCGCAATATCGCGCGTTGATGGGCGTGGCGAGCCACGCCATGCTTGCGAGACGAGTTGACTTGCCTGGCTGTTGAATCGGATCTGAATACTATTCGAAAAGGTGAAAGGACGGGAAGGACCTATCGTTCGACGTGGAGTCTTGTCCACTTAAATTCATGTGAGACGATGCGGCACATAACGATTGTCTTGCCCATCTCCTCAAGAAGCCGTGAAATAGGGCAGCTATCTCACCGTGACGGTAACTCCCAATGAGGAAAGCCCACAAGGTGACAGCCTGGCAACCAGCTTAACTTTGAACTCATCGAAAAGGTCTTTCGGGGCTCACGTTGCAATATACAATTACGAAGTTCCTGTTCAAAAACAAACTGTACAGTCATCTCCAAGGGCGGTGTTTGCCATAAGCGAGGTGAACGGTTGGAAGCTTAGTGATTTCCGGGTGCTGTTTGTTTCTCCACCTGTCTACAGGATGCGTCGATGCAAAAACGCCGCAGCGAAAACGTCTTCGAAGGTAGAGAACAAGCAGACGTGAGAAGGCATAGACCGGTAGCGCGTTCGACTATGGTTAGGAGTGCGGCATGGGGCTGGCTGCGTACGGAGCCGAACGGCACCCGGGTACCCTTCAGTACGGTCCTGGTGCAGTTTTGAGCCGAGACAGTGGCATGCTGCTGCAATGCGGGCTCATCCACTTCGCATAGGTTCTCGAAGAGAAGCGTTCAGTTTGTCTAGCAAAATGTGTGAAGGTCATCATCAGGTTATGCGAGGACCTCAATTGACCTTCCAAAAACTAACACTTATCAGTTCAATTTTCACAAAAAAAAATTTCAAGGGGGTGGAGTCATTAAACGACTTCAAAAGATCTTGTTCTTAGTTTTCAACAGCTGAGAACGGCTGTTGAAAACTAAGAACAAGCAACCTCAGTGCTTCGTATGACCACAGTAAAGCCAGGGCTTAGGCCTTCTGACCTCAAGCTCCACGTTGGTAGCTCTGTCAAAGCCTCACGTTTTTAATCAAAACATGGAGAGAAAACGGACTGCGAGATGGTCTCTGAACGGTGTACTCTTTCCCTCACTAGGCTTATATGTCTGTAAGAACCTCACTTCCATCATGGCAATCATTCTTCGTAAGGGCCCAATAAATGAATCTCAACGCACATGCGTTGGGACCTTTGTTGAAGACTGTCTCTAAATAAGTCCCTGAATAGCGAATATCGAAGTAGCAGTAAGGCGACTGCCTTTGAGCCGTGTTTATGCCTTGCAACACTGGAGAATCGGAGATTCCTCGAAGAAATCACATAGGTATCGATTGACTCCGCTCAGGTGGAGAATCGGAGAATAGGGGAGCAATCGATTTTTATCTGTTTTTTTGTAGGTCTTCCAATTCCTCACATAGATGGTATCCTCTCCTTACAGGTGTTTCTTCAGTTCCTCAGTGTTGCAGGACATAAAAGTGGTCTATACAAGACAACAGACGAGCTGTTCACATTTCGGGAACAGACTTTTTAATACAGCATTTTTGGCATTCAGGTTGGCTTACAGAAAAACTGGAAATATTGACTTTTCTTCGTTGATGTGATTTGTATTTTTTGTGGTTTGTTCTTGAAAGGTAGACTTTTGTGCATTGTTTTTTTTTTTCGCTCATTTATAAGAGAAGCACAAAAAATATAGTGAATGCTCGAAACATGAGGAAATGTGATCATAATAGGGAGGAATTCATGAGCCTCCATTCCGAATATGACAGCTTCGGAGAAAGAACCTATGAGAAAAAAATGGGCTCTCCGAAAGTTGGGTGCCGATTTGTGTGGAGGCGCCAGTTTTTGCGGCGTGATCTCCAGACGGTCGATAATTGCACCGGTGATACTGTGGACAAATAAGATCAAGGAGAAGGTCCAACATTTAGAAGATGGAAGTTTGAACTTTTTCGGGAGCGATGGTATCACATACAACTAGTTCCCTAAACATTAGCTAACATTAGCTTGGCTTCTACCAAAAAAGACAGGAGCGAATTCAGAACGCGGTCATAGGATAAAGAAGGGGCGATTTCAATAAGGCTCCGAAAGGATTGGATGGGTATCGATGAGAAGAATGGAAGATTGTAAGCTTCATCCCCTCTTGATGACA